CCCCAAAACCCCAAAACCCCAAAACCCCATAGTGCCATTAAAGCGTATTAAAATCTTTTGAGACGTCATTGATTAAATTAAAGGTAAATGGAATCGTACAAATCACTTTTCAGTCCTGATCTCTTGAAGGGCAAAGTTGCTTTTATTACTGGTGGATCAAGAGGAGGAATGCTCAAGGAAATCGCAAGAGGATATCTTCTACATGGAGCTAAAGGAGTTGTTTTAATGAGTAGAAATGCTGAAAAAAATGGAGAGGTCGCAAAAGATTTATCTCAGTATGGTCAATGCTTGAGCGAGCCTGGTGATGTAAGAAAGCCAGAAGATTGCAAGAGGGCAGTCGCAAATACTATCAAAGCTCTGGGTCAAATAGATATACTCGTAAATGGTGCTGCAGGTAACTTTCTTGCCTCAGCTTCAGCATTATCAATTAATGGATTCAGAACTGTTCAGGAAATAGACACTCTTGGCACCTTCAATGTCAGTCAAGCAGTTTACAATGGATACATGAAGGAGCATGGAGGAGTTATTATTAACATTTCAGCTACTCTACACTGGAGTGGATCTGCACTTTAGGTTCATTCTGCTGCAGCCAAAGCAGCAATTGATTCAATGACAAAGACATTAGCAGTTGAATGGGGTCCAAATAAGGTCAGAGTCGTTGGAATTATCCCAGGTGGAATTGAAGGAACAGAGGGCTTTGCAAGATTAAGTGATGCTAATGCCATGAACGATAAAGAAAAAGCAAATGCTGCTTTTAAGGATGGAACTTAAAGCAATAAAGCTACTATGGAGTAACTTGGTAAGAAAACTGTGGCTCTATAAAGATGGGGATCTATATATGACATTGCAAACACTGCTCTATATCTTGCTAGTCCAATTGCCTCTTATGTCACTGGAACTAATGTCTTAGTCGATGGTGGTGCTGTATTGTTGTATCCAAACATGTTATTTACTGATCCTAAATTCGTTGATATGTGGTCTCTTGGAAAACTCTGAGAAGAATGATTTACCTTCAAGCTAATAAATTTATTTGGATTAAACATAATTATCATTTATTGACTATTTTAATCAATCATTAATTTGTCAATGACCTAGTAGCTCCTCTGATTATCCTTCTACTTGCTTGATAACTTCTTCCATCTTTTGTTCCCATAGTTAGATTTTGTTTACCATTATCTCAATATGCGATCTGCTGAGATATCTAGGAAGAATCCAATCGATGTGAACAACTTGATCTACCTCATCTATTTAGCCCTTAACAAGTTCTAAACTCATTGCTTTCATAATCAAGAATTCAACTTCATTAACTTAAATTTGACATGATTAAGCGATTCTATCAAATTTCAAACTTCTGTCATCCTTATCGCAAGCAAATAAAAGCTCTAAAAAGTTAATGATTTTAACTTTCATTTGGAGGTTTTGAAGCTCTTTGTTGATTGCTGACTATTATAATTAATTAGGGATGATAATATCCACTTACGAATCTTGTGATGTACTCGTGATGCTTATTCACTGCGTTTGAAAACTCAGTAATTAAACCTCTTCCTAAATTTTAAAGTAGTTCATTTAACCATTCAAAGTCTGTTCCGTTAAGAGATTAAAGAATCTCTTTGTCAAGCTATAATTAGATAATGATACTTTTGATAAATTCTTACTAGCTCAGCAATATTATAGATATTTTTACCAAGTAAGACAGACATACCCATTTTAATCGACCAATCTCTTTTCTCTTCATGAGATAACTCTGAAGCTGGTGTATAAGCTAAATATTGTAAACTGCTTTTATAAAAATTCTCATGATCCTCCTTTCTTCTGTAATACAAGGCAAATGTCTTGCTTAAATGTGCATAAACTTTTGGATCAACATCCGACAATTACTCAAGACTCTTTTTAACCTCATTTAAAATCTCGAAGCAATCATGATGTAAACCGAGTTAGAGCTTTTTCTCTGCTTTTCCAATTTGACACAAGAATACTGCATCTTGTTTACCATTTAGTCTGTTTTTAGCTGCATCCAAGAATTCAATTGATTACTCCAAGTCTAAAAGGAATTTTTAAGTAGAATTTTCATACCAGTGAATTATCTTGAAACACTGATAGTAATAAGAGCATATTTCAAGGGATTAACTCTGACTGTAAGATCCTTAATCAGGACATTATAAAGATCAATGAGATCCTAGCCCTCATCAAAAATTCTTTCATTGGTATAATTGAGAAGAGCATCTGTAAGCTAATGCCAGAGTCTAAATGTTTTGATTAAGTCTAATATAATTACTTCTCCTTGTAGGTACCAGTTACTAGTTCAATGGAGCCTTAAAGTTATGGGAACTTTCTGCTATGAGTATCGAGACATTATAAAACACTTTGAGAGATCATTTTTGGTTAAGTTTATGATAAACAAAAAAATTAAATTTAATATTTCAAATTTACAAAGAGGAATGAGATTAATAACTTATATTTATAAAATTATCTTTATTTATATGACGAGAATAGACTCATTTACCATCTAGTTTAAAATTTTCTGTACCGCTTTCCCCCAATTTCCCTATCTTGCTAGCCAATTCAACGCCTCAGCATTATAATTATTCATTACATGGCTAATAGTCAAATCAAAGTCAGCAAGGCTTCTTCACCGAAGCTTTATAGAGAAAACAAGTTCAAGTTCCCATAGATCTCAATTATAGAATGGTTCAAAGTCTACCTATATAACACTCAACATCCATAGCCCCAGATGAGACGATGAATGTTTAGCATTTACTATCACACTCAAAGCTTGTAGAGAAGGATAGCCATTTGACCTATATAGAAGAAAATATAGTGCTTGCTAGTATAGGTAACGTATGAAGCGAAATGCTTTCCTACTACACAATGCCAGTTTGGTGAGTATTTTTTGTCGAAGAAGCTCTTGATATATTCTGAAATTTCTTTCTCGGTCTCTTTTTAATCAATTGCTCTGTTTACTTGTTACTCAACATCATTCTTCATGTCTTGGTCCATTTCACATACGACCCATGTCACATTGCGCTCTGTCATCTTTTAAATATATTTTTAATTAATATTTATCGCGTTCTTAGGTTTAAATATTCCTATTGGCACTCTAACTTATTGAAATGTTTATGAAATTAAGAAGGGGTTAACTGATTATTTAATTAATGAACTTATATTAGGTTAACTAAAATTTATAACTCATTCAGTTTTATATAAGAATCATTGATAATTCTATGTAGTATTTTGTGTAACTCAAGAATTTTTTTTAAATCAATCATTCATCTTATTACTGAAACTATCTGCCTTAGGAGGCTATTCTTTCTCTTACTTGGCAACTTTAGATCTATTGAGCATGCATTCAATAAGTCGGTTCCTAATATTTAGTTATTTTACTTATTTTTAATTACACATCACTAGTTGTTTCAAAGTACACCTTACTATTGAAGTTTTCAACCAATTTACAAGCTCTAGCCTTCATAAATATAAATCCATCAGCATGCTGTATTTATATGAAAATATTTTTAACTTACTTCCTCTATTTCTCCCAAAAACTCATAAGTTTTACTGATCTCTAAACTCTTATCCTTGATCAGAAAAGTATTTATAATAAATTCATCTTCTTCTTGCTCAATAACAGTGAATCCTTAGTCATTTTGCAACTATTTGATCTTTCCCAAAATTCGAGTAGACTTGTACTGAAAGTTATCCTGAGAAATTCGTTCTTTAATCTGAGGAATGGTAATAAATCTGCAGGAGTCTAATTGCGGGATATTCATTAAATTAAGATTAATTAATTATTAAAATATTGCCTGTTAAAAATTTATCAATGTTAAGTTTATACTACATCAAAATATATCTGCTATCTTCAAATAGTTCATAATTTCATGCATACTGCTCTAGTATATTACAGTAAATGACAAAGCATTTAAAACATACTAGACTAATTTGAGCGCTGTTTGGATTGCTTTTGTTTCCCTAAGGATTATCATTCCTAATTGGAGAAAATATGTTTCTAAAAGAGGTCAGCTATTAGCCAATCACACCAACTTAAATATCATCTCCAAGTAGCCTTTATGAGTTATTGCTGGATAAATTCTAATAATTATTCTGGATAAGTCTAGTGTAGTTCTAGAGCTTATTTGCTCTTTTAATTCGAATGTCCTTATTTTTCATTTTACGCTATCTTTATTCTTGTGTGAAAGGTCTATTTACTTAGCCTTGATATTAATTATAGGGCTCAAAATCGTTTTGCAAAGAGTTTCTTTAATAGAAATCTTGAGGAGTAAAGATGTCTTGAATTTTCTCAAAAGAATCCTCATTGCAGCAAATAGATTAATCAACTTAATTGCTCTAAGTAGGTAGATTTTCTGCTTCGACAGTAGCTTCCAGTCTGAATCCACTTTTTTAAGACAAAAAAGTTTCAGGAATCTTTACCAAAATGTTAGAGCTATTCAGAATGCTTTGTTGCGATAAGTTTTTTACCTTTTTATCTTGGCTATACTATCGAAGACTGCTATTTACATTTTTCTAGTTATTAATGCTAATAACATTATAGTTTTGCTCGGTATCTTCTTGGTTATTCTAATTTAGAAATCTTGATCTATTTTATATGGATTATAGGGCTTTCTTTTCTTTTTTAGGATTTAAGCTAATAATCTTTTCGTTTAATTAGTCATGTGCAGTTTTCAAAACTCCAACTGTAATCTTAGTCAAGGTTTGATCCCTTATTTTGTTTTCAATTGCATATATAGATGAAAGCAATAATGCTTTTGTTTAAACTCTGAACAAGAAGTTCAGCTAGTCATTTTAGCTAATAGATATAATCTTCGCTGACACATCTTTAGGGATTATTATAGTGTCAATTTTACAATAACTCCCTTTACAACTATTCTTACTAGTTTTCTTAATAATTGAGGTCTTTGAATTCATATTACTATCTAGCAAGCTGACTTTACTATTTTAGAGGCCATAATTTTGATTTATTAAAGTAAGATTTTTTAGATAATTGGCTGAAGTAATTCTGCAAAGACTGCTAACAATGTCCTTAGACTTCTATAAGTTTTATGAACTTCCACTAATGGATTAATTGAAAGAGAGTTAATAATTTTGGAAATGTAAGTGCTGCTGAGATGAATTATTTTCTTCTTTTGCATCAAATTATATATCTTAAAGTCTCTTAATTTGATTTCTTAGTTGCATTAATTTCGATTTACTTTTGACCTAATTTTAACTTCTATTCTCAATATTTTACATAGAAATCCTTTAGCTCATAGAATTATGAATGAACTAATTAAAAGGTTTTCTTTTCCCATAAAAATACCTTTAGTTCCTTTACTAAAGCTTCAATTTTTATTGTCTAGTCTAATCTAAATCTCCAGTGGCATAATAGTCTTAGTCGATTTATTAGTCATCAATGTCTTGTTCAGATATTTTAGTAGGTTCTTAACTCAATTCTATTAGTTAGTGCATCTTAACTTTAATCTTATCTTTCTTACTCGACTCTTATCTAGATCCTCTCCTAAAATTGAACTAATTATTCATTAAGCCTCCTAAATTATTATTTGCTGGAATGGGGACATTTTCTGAAAATCTTCTTTAAAGAATATCAGCTGTGAAGGTAGATTCTAATATGTCTTTATGGAGTTCATCAATTCCCAAAAAGAAAAATTCATTTTCTGTTTACTATTAAGTCTGCATATATCTCATTTTACAATAGCTGATCTAATTATCACCTTGGATCTTGGTTTGAATTTTTAAAGAGTAATTGCCAAACATATTTATTAAGTTTTAATCTTTGATTTTGATATCAGTCTATTTCGTGCTATTTGAATCTAACTTTAATGCATCCTAAAGATAAACCTGGACCAACTATTTTTGATTTTTTAGTTCGAGAATAACACAGTAGATTAATGGAAAATCATTTTATTCCATTATCGGAAATATTTGGATTCCAGTAAATTTGCTTAACTTACTGAATGTCTGAACATTCATAAAATCATTAACGTTAACCAGTTTTCTTTTAATAAAGTATCGATATTTATAATTCCCGTTATGAGTGATCTTATTTTCTTAAGTGTAGTTATAGGTTACGAAGGCTACATTTTTATTTAAGTTCTTGGCTATAAAGTCCATGAATTGAAGTCGCTTGTCAAAATTTGTCTTGAGATAGAGATTAAACAGCATCTTATGAATGATTTGACTCAAGTTCAAATCTTATAATTTAAAGTCATTAGTCCAGAATCAATACTGCAAGTCACTATCCTGAAATATATTATCTACTTTCTAGTTAAGAATTTCCTTATCATTTTAAGATTGTTAAAACTTCAAATGGTCAGGTAGATAAACTTGAATCTCGCTCAAATCATTTCTATTATCTTAAATAGCCAAGACTATCTATTCATTGATGGGAATCTCTTAGTTCACCTCTAATGTCTCTGAATTAGATATGACCTTTTTCTTTTTCTTGTAAGAAATTTTGTTGAGTAAACAGGAACTGAAGGACTTTTTCATTATCACTCTCAAATATATATTTTAACTTAATTATATTATTAATCTTATTATTATTTTAGAATTGAAATGAAACAGAATTCTTTTAAATTGAATCTACCTGAGGTTAATACTTCTTCTTAATAAACAACTATTTATTCAAATAAAGCAAGGAGTTCATTTCTAAGTAAATTAATCAAGCAAAAACAAGACTAAAGCAAATTCGAAAATTCGGATAAAAAGACTCCAAGAAAAGAGAATACAAAAGTGCAAATTTCTCTTCGAAAATCTCAATCGTAAGGTAACATACAGAGTGTGTGGGGGTATTATGGCCATGGCTCATCTACTTCAAGAAAGTATTATACAAACTCATTAGGTTTTGATAAAGATGAAATTTAATAATCATCTACTTCAAACTTGAACACAGACAGAAATATTGGAGAAATATTCAATAATAAAGCTATCAAAGCTTTATAATACTCAGAGTCAGGCTCAATAATATCGATGCCAGTTCCAAATTAATCTCAAAACTAGCATGACTTGTCTATAAAGATTAGAGGAATAAAGAGGGATAATAAAAAAAGACTTAAGAAATTAAAACTTACTCCTATTTCCTCAAGAGTTTAGTCAGTTAATGAAAAATCTCATATAGGAAGATAAATTCTCTAATAGATGAAGGATTATTCATAATTCTAGTAAGAGAATTAAATAAAAACTCTCAGCTAGAAATAAAATGTAAAGGCTAATGATGATAGTGAAGAGATAGAGTTAGAGTAATTTATGAAAATGGACCTTAATGATCCAGAGGAATAGGTTAGCTCTTTATATAACACTATAGCTTAGAGTAAGATTGGCCTCAAAAGAATGGATTCTGATATAAATGGTGATGATCCTAATTAATTCGTTTTTAAGCCAGATTTTAACATTAGATAATGCAATTATCTATTTGTGAGAGCTGTTGAGAGTAAATTTAATGATGATTTGAAGCCATAATATGTGAAAGAAATGGAAGTTGGACATTCAACCATCTTAGGTGGGGAAAAGAATGATGAAGTATAAGCTCTTAAAGGGTTTAAGAAATCAGAATTAGTCTTAAAATAAATCAAATAATAGCTGAAGTAATAAGAAATAGAAAAATGATAAGGAATGAAAGTTGATGAGCATTCTAAGAGACTTGAAAATTTTGCCAATGAAGTAGACTAGAAGTTCTAATTTAATGATACCGACCTCACAAAATATTAAGTCTCGTTTAGATCGAGGAGAACAGATGATGGAAAAGCAATATCTACAAGATAGGCTATTTTAAATAAACAATAAGAATAGTTGGATTAATCTAAGAATGGAAAACAAGCAGGAAGTAATTCGAGAATGTCTCATGAGCCTATACTTGCGAGAGATCTACAAAACTATTATTCATCTGAAGATAACTTTTAGGATGACCTGCCTTATGATCTGTATAATATGGTGGAAATGTACAAACAAATATCAAAGGCTTAAGTCCTTCCATACTTTTCAGAAATCAAGCATGATGATCTTAGAAACTTTTAAAATCTAAGTAATATTTATCATTATAATTTGTTTAGTGATGGGAGTAGAAAATGCATAAGACTCATGATCTATAAAGCAGTTCGTAGGAAAATACAAACATAAGATGCTAGATATAAATACTGAGACAAATAGAGAATTTCTAGAAGGCTAGTATCATAAGCTACTAGAAAAGAGACTAACTGATTAGTAGAAGAGTATAACTGAATAAAACAGTAGATTTGCAAGCATTGAAAAATACAACGGCCACTATGACATTGTAAGTTTAATTTGAAGTAATTTATCATTAGTCTTCAATTAAGAAGAAACTTAGAAAGAAAGAAATAGAGACTCTAAATGAAAAAGTAAAGGAGAAACTGCTTAATGATTTTCTTCCATACTACACACTTAAGTCTGGAGGAAAATAACCAAAAGATCTACTAAAAGAAATGAAATAACAAAAGAAGCAAAATGCTTTAAATTATAATCAAAATAACTTTTGATTATTCCAACCTTAGCCTAAAAAACATATACGAAAAAATATTAATTTCATTATTTTTATTTTTAATAGTATGCTTGCTACATGGGGTTTTGGGGTTTTGGGG